TAGGGTTGCCGCAAGGCCAAAAGTCGCACCACCTGGCTCACGAGATGGCACATCAAGGCGTGCTGATAGAAGCTCAAAATCACCACCGCCTTCTTCTAACCCTGAAGAGGCGGAGACCAGCACTCGTCAGGCTGCACCCCGCCGAGTTTTTACACAACGGGCATCGTTGAAGGAGCTGCTGGCAGGCAATGAGCACAACCGAACCAGCGAGCCTCCTCGGGCTCGAGAACCCCTGTCGAAGAATCGCACGAAAGCCTCAAAGCCGGTGAAATCTCGGCAACCGCCTCCCGAAGATGAAGTTGTTTCACTTCTCACCCAAGAGCCCATAGCACCAAAACATCGTAGTGATGCAGCCGCGAATAGCTCACGCAAAGGCCGAGGACATCAGGATACCAATGCAGACGGACCGCCCAAAACCCGAACATCTGTGCCCAAACCGTCAAAAACAATTGACTCTGACAAAGGTGATGTAGAATCACCAGCAGCCGACGACGAAGCATTTCTCATTTGGTTGGCGGAAAGTGAGGATTCTCCAGCCATGGGCCAAGCATTGGTGCCACCTGCGGACAACCGCCCACCACGCCCGAAGAAGGCAAAGAGTAACTCTGTTCCAGCAACCCAAAGGTCTGCAAAGGAGTCTACCCGGAAGGTCGCCCAAGAACCCATCATTGTCGATGAAGATGAGGATGAGGGCGTGGAGGCACTACCACATCCAAAGACTTCCCGAACCCGCCCCGAGAGCGCTGTCTCAAACACGACTAAAAGAAAAGAGACGAGCAAAGCGGAGCATCAGGGAACGAAGCGAACACTGAGTGCCGATACAGCATCCGCAACAGAATCCGATACGGACAAACCTCATCCTGCGAAGGAACCACGGACAGAGCTTAGGATCAGACCAAGGCAGCGGCGCGGGCTGCTCATGATGGCTGAAAGGAAAGAAGGAGGTCGACCAAGCTCAGGGGGAAGATCAGCCCCCCCCTCATCAGGAGCTGGAAGCGACATGCAAAAAACATCGCATACCATCACCCGCGCAGCCTCGATTTCAGAAGAACCCCCAGCTACTGAGAGGATTAAGACAAAGACGACCGTTTCGAAAAAGCCAAAAGACTCAGCTAAGCCAAGTGAGCTTCATCACTCCGTGGAGGAGCCTGATGACCAGTCAATCACGATTCATAACTCGAATACAGAAGAGCAAGCCCGCGAGAAGGACTCAAATATTGAACCCAAAGCCCGGAAAGAGCCAGAGGTTGAACTTTTACCAACCGACGATGCAATTTCAGCCAGTGGGCTTTCTGAAGATAGGAGATCCCCTACACCTCCTCGCCGACGGATAAATCCAAGCCGACGCACACGAAACAGGGCAGCCCCTGTCGTGCTCAGTGACAACGAGGGCGAGACCTCAGCATTCGACTCCCCAGCAATATCTGACGATGAAGAAGGCTTGTCTCTTGCGTCGAAAGCTAGTCGAAAACCTGAGCCTAAGCCCAGTTCTGGCCCACGTATCACCAAGATGTCACGGAAAAGCGTCAAGAGCAGAGAAATTATTGGTTTCGTTATGCCAGATGAAGACTTTTCGATGGGAGGTTTCAACGTCGGTCATGCTGAGCCGGCTGAGGTCAAAAAGCCAAGTAACGACTTGAAAATAGCTGAGAAGCCTCCAGGCCAAGCTCGCGATACAACAGTGGTACCAGCAAACCATAAGTCTGTCAGCGACGGACTTGAAGTGGAACAACTACAAACGAATAAGAAAGAGCCTGAGAAGGAGCAACCTCCAACAAAAGAAAAGATACCCGAACCACCACGGTCTTCAGCGAATGCGAAGGAGCTAGACATAGTACCGCGCTCCACGAATAGCAGAGCATCTAAAGGTGCAGAATCTGCGTTGCAAGCAAAAGAGAGTGAAACCGAAATAGCACGACCCCCGATGAACGCAAAACAGCCCGAAATAGGTCAACGAGCAACAAGGGTGCCAGAGAAGGAAGCCAGCGCATCAAAAACAGGTTCGAGAGACCCTAAGGTACAAGAATCCTCAGCCAAAGAGACGGAATCCAAAGAAGTACAGCCTGCAACAAGCGAGAAAGAACCAGAAATAGTACAACCATTGACGAAGGATCAAAACACTGAAGCAGAAGCCCCCTTAACGAGTGGGAAAAGGCTTGAAGCAGCACAGCCATCAGCCAATGGAAAAGAACAACAAGAAAAGCAACGACCGCGTATTGTGAACCCTGCGACTAGAGGTAGGAAAGCCGCAAGAAAACAAGACGCGGCCGGGTTGCCGCCGCAAACACTGGTTCAATTTGAGCCTGCTACCTCGTCTCGCATTGCTCCGGCGCAGCCACCAAAGAAGATACCCCCCTTGAACCATGTGCCTCAATCAGAATTGCCGGTGTTCTGTAGAGCAAATGGTGGTGCTTGGAGCAGGCATGCCGAGGATCTACTAGGTATGACGAGGCCTACGAGAAGAATGCCTCGACGGTGACACGGCAAGGTACCTGATGTTTTGTTTTCTTGTGTCTGCATAGAAATTCTTTGTAGGAGAAGGATCTTTCCGAGAACTACGTTGTTGCTGGGGGTATCTGGCTTTGTCTGGCACGTCGTTTCTACCGACACTACCTGCGAATACTTTTGGCACTTCTGTCTTTCACACGGACCCCTTCCGTCAGTAATCCGGACTGACATTACCTCCGCGTCCGAGCTGTCAACCACCCGCTTTATCTATATTCTGTTGAGCAAGAACGGATGCACTAGGTACGCATTTCCTACTGAAGGCCTTCATTGCTACCCCTGGCCGCTCCCATCGATGTTCAAGACGATTCGCTAAAACTCACGAAATGAAGAGGTTTGATGATTGAGAGGCTGCTGGCGAGTCCCAAGCCTATCGAAGAACAAGAAACCGCTCTGCACGACTCGATCCTCTGGGTCAATGCTTCCTTTGTTTGAGTAAACAGGGATATTGGTCAGCCACGAATTCGCACGATGACTACTTCTGTTGTCCGACTTGACCTGCGCTTGGCCAGCTCACCCCAAAGGCTCGCCAACAGTATGGCCGTGTACAAAACTCTCGAGCAGCAAGAGCACTGGATGGTACAGCGAGCTCCAAGCCATCTGTCAGATTAGTGCCATTCAGTCTCTGCAGACATGCCCTGCTGTGGAATCGCTGGAAAACCCTTGTGAGCCATTGGGACTGCAGTGCATCAGTTGTGCGTAAAGGAGCAGAGCGAGCAAGAAAGCCAGAGCAGTGGATCTGCACAAAGTATCTACGTGTCGCCGACAGAGTCATCTCGGCGCCTTGTCATTAAGGTTTTGGTGATTTATCAGCATGTTGGGGGATCGGAATGGGCTACAGGCGTTAAGTTGACCCTCTGTCGGCGTCTATCGTGTTAGATTTCCTATTTGGACGTTTGACGAATACAATCAGAATGAGTCGAAGTTTAGGATGGTGTCTACCCCCGCAGCGCCCCTTGTTTTGTTTCTCGGCATGGTTCACGCGGCCAATCTTTGGGTTCTGGTGTCGTGAACTAAAGGATGGACATGGTGTGGATCCTGGGGAGTGCTGCATCTGCTTACTTGATGCCCAGATAACTACGGTCGGGCACAATCTTGTTGGTTCCACTGGAATATATATAAGAGGCCACTGGGCCCGTCTTGCTGTCTCTCATCGACCAACTCACTTGGCGTTCACAACGGAGTCAACAATGTTACCAGGAGTTTTGTTATCAAGACCAGGCAGGCTCTGACCTGCCTCAGGGTTTTACACTTCAAATTTTGATGAGAGTACAAGGTTGGAGTTGTCACTCTAAGTTTTGCCTTTACCTTTGCCTTTTTGCCTTTTTGCCTTTATCTTCTCATAGGAGAATGTCCACCCGGTGTGAGACGAGACCAAGTTACGTGGTATGAAGAACGAAGAGTCATAACTGAAGAGATCTCAATAGTTTACACAATAATGATATGATGATTCGGCGTTTCCCCAGTTGATCGATGATCCTTGAGACTGTTGAGACGAGACATCACTCAACCAACAATGGCTGAGCGAGGGTACGGCCTCCGACTTAACCGTAGTGTAACTAACACATGGGGTCGAACGAGTTTCAAATCTGGGGTCGCGGAAGTTGAGTCATCCTCATATGCGGGCTTGAAAGCATTGACCAACCAAGAATGCTTTTCTCTCGCCGAAGTCTTAGCTCTGATGGTGCAGATGGTGGGTCAGGTTGACCAATAGGCATATTTCTTGGGGCGGATCTTACAAAAGTCCAGGAACATGATTGGTGACTGGGTGTCACTCTGCCTTGTCGCGCTTTTCCTTTTCGAGCACGCCGAAAGACTCAATCTCCTCCACTCTGACTTTCCCTCGAAGTGCTGCGCCATGCTTCCGCCCGGGCACCTGCGGCTTCCATCAAACAGACAGTGAAATACTTCGACGACGCCCTCCCCCGTGGCCTCAGGCGTTTCCTCCTTCACTTCCTCCTTCTCGTCACTACCACGACTAATTCGATTGTTCGATCAAGAGAATATCTTGTATCGCAATAGTCCTTCCCAGTATTGACACAAAACAAAACACAACACACGCTACACTAACACCGAAACTGGCGACAAGTTCGGTACCTCAAGGCTTTGCCTATCTCTCTATCCCCCTTCAGTTCAATCTGATACGCGTCAACGAAACAAGGCTCTACGCATCTCTCTTGGCGCAGTCTTCCTGTTTCTCACTTGCACGTCCCATTTCGAGCGACCTCAAAACACCATAGTCTCTCGTTTGACTCTTTGACAAGTACCCAAACGCTTCACGTGAGAGTAAGCAGGTCGGAGTAAGCAACTATCCGAACCTGTCACACCTTATGCATCGATCGACTAACAGAGTCGCATCTAGCCAACTGACGTGACCTACCAAAGCTCTCCCAGGATATTGGATTAGGAGAGTATTACAGCAATTCCAAGACCCCGTTCCCGTTTTCAAGATTCCGCCTTTTCAAGTAACTTTGAACGGAAATTTCGTGCTTGCAATGGCGTCCAACACCAATACTCTTCCTCAAGGATTCTCGGTCTTCCAGCCTACTCTTGGTGCTCAGCTCCAGTTCTTCCCGGCCATCGGCACCCGTGAGCTCGATGACATGATCAACGCTTACATGCCTGGACCCGCCTCCAACCAGGAGAAGCGGGCCAGCATCGCTCTCGACTACTTTGAGTATGCTCACCTGACTGGGCAGACTTTCAAGTTCTACCCTATCTACTCCGCTGCAGACTCTCCTGCTACTGCCAGCCCTCTTCAGGATTCTGGTTATGGATCTTCTTTCAACACCAGCCCCGCTACCTCTACCTGGGATTGGAGCAATGTGAACACCTCAAGCTCTTCTCGCCGCTCATCTCCCAAGTCGACCTCCAGCCCCCAGGCCACCGATTTCTCCAACCTTCCTGGCATGAAGATCATGACCAAGGATGGACGGGATGTGACCAACTCTGCTTCCCGAGGATCCAAGACAAAGGAGCAGCGGGATCACGCTCATCTCATGCGAATCATCAAGGCTTGCGACAGCTGCAAGAAGAAAAAGATTCGTTGCGATCCTAGCCACAAGAAGCGTGGTGTTTCCAGCACAGCGGCTCAGTCTGCTAAGGTGACCAAGAAGACAAAGACAGTGGCCCCAGAACCCAAGGCCACTCCTGTCGTTGTTCAAGATGCCTTCACGCAATTGGCCTTCCCTGAGCAGGACTTCTCAGCCGAACTCGACAGCCTGTCTGCTCCTACAGAACAGGGAGTCGAGCCATGGGAACAATTCGTCCAGTTCCCCACTGAGGACGACAACTATGACTTCTTCAATGACCCCGAGGGCTACTTCTCTCCTGGATCCTCCTCCTCCCTCTCTGAGGACTCTACGAAGCCAGTCACTCCCACAACAGACCAAGACTTACTCCGTCGTCCACGCGACGAGGACCTAGCAGGACTTATGGATCTTGCGGCGTATATGCCATTCAACCAGACCGAAGCCAATCACGACTATGTGGACTTCAACCTGTACTCTCCTGCTTCAGTCTTCTCTGAAGATGAGCGTATGGTCCCGATTGAAGTTTCCAAGCAGTCTATTAGTCAGCCTAGGTCACCAGCGCCGAACCCACTACCGCCAAACGAATCCTCGAGTGGCTTCTATAGTAGTGGCGGCGAACTTGGCGGCGGCGACCTGAATGGCGATCTGTTTGGATCGCTTTCTGTGGCCTCATCATCCGCACCTCAACAACTCACTACCCATGGCCAGCTCGGCCGCGAAGACGTCTATCGCGACCCTGGAGCTGGCCTGGAGTATTACGCCGGTACCCCAGAGTCTAGTCTCGGCTCGCAACTTCTGAGCTCGAGCGCGAACTCACCGTCAGACCGCGCCGCGCATGGCTCTGTGTCTGAACCGCTGTCCTCTGTGGACTCTCAACTATCCACGAATAATAACGTACGTGTCTCACTGATCATCCCGCTTCTGAGGGAATGGCAACTAACTTCGGAGAAGGTGACAATTAGTCGCGACATTATCGAGGCCCGCGGAGTAACAACAGCACAATTAGAGTCTCGACCACTGAAGACAACTACCACCACTCCAACCGCCACTACTACCACGACTCTGGCCACGCAGTCCACGGAGACGATAGCACAATCAAGCTACCAGCCAATCGCGACGGAAGGCACAGAAGATTCATCGGATTGTCGAACATCCGAAAATCACACTGTGACCGCTCAAGCGGTTCTCCAACGTGTCGATGCACAAGGCGACCTACAGCAACCAGCTTCTCAAGATGCAGAGATTCACAATGTGGCGGAAGATATATCCCAACCTTCTCCCGCGCCCGTTGTGCCAGCTCACCACACGACTGGCCTGGAAACTCAATCTGACCAGTCAAGCGTGGAAGCACTTGCATCTATTGCTGCGATGTTGATCGCCTCGACCGTTTGGTCTTATGTCTCTCAGCAGTTTGTCATACAAGACAAATACCGGGAACAGCAGACACAAATCGCTGCACTCAGTCAACGAAAGGTCAATGGTATCATGCCCAGCATTGGAGAGCAAGTCTGCAGGTTGCAGAGCACGATACGAAGCGGCAAGACGTCAGTCGGTCGAATGGTCTCAATGAACAGAAGTCTCATCGCTGTGTAGCGATGAATCCTTGTTGCGCACCAGGTGGAATGAATGGAGTTGGCATACAGGCTTTTGGCTAGAGCCATGATAGAGCTTGCGCCCTTTTTTATTTGTTTTATTTATTGCATTTAGCATTGGGAGTGAATGGCCGCGCATTTGCTCAGGTCTTGACAGGGAATGGCTGTTGCTATAGAGCGAGCATCGAGCCCAAAATCAATTGAACTGGCCTCCAAGGCCGTATAATATTTAAAATCCGTTCCTCTGTGATATGATCTATGCTGCCTGCCAGATGGTGACCAACAGTAAAGTTTGTGTTGCTTGTCTGTGACGGAGACGACGCCACCGTATTCTGAATTTGTGTTCCGTAAAACTTGAGGGACTGTGATTTGATGAGTGACTTTGAAGGCGGGTCATCTGTATTAGACGGTGGATCAAGCAGGGATTAGCGCAAGAATGGAAGTATGAAATCTTCTCTCAAATTGATGAAGGACATGAGTATCTTGAACTCTTTCTCTTACTTTTTAAGGTTGGGGGGAAACTTTGATAAGCCATTCAAGGCCAAAAGAAGAATCCTACTCCTCTTGTCTCTCATTATATCATCTATGGGACCATAGGAAGACGCATCACGACTATACTTTGGCCTTTCTTGTTCGGCGGCATCTGTACTGTACGATCGATTGCCAGAAATCTAGTGATTGCATCTGGCGATGATCTTAGAGTGACAGCCAACTACTGATCTATTGTTTGAACTTTCTTGTTAAGCAAGTCTCGTGTGAGCTCTGATTAAGCTTACCGGATTATTGTTATCCATTGTCCGAATTGTTAATACACAAAGGCCTGTGTTACTTGGGTTTGAGACGACAGTTGGTGTCAGCCTATTTTTCTAGAAGGAGGAACAAAGGACCAGGGTTGAGGAAGAAAAAAGTAAAAATCGGAAAGAGAAGGAAACATTTGGATACGAGTGAAGGGACCATCCACAACGAGGGTACGAAGGTGAAGGGGATTGTCACTGAGAAGTAAAGAGGAGGATTGAAGCCTGGAGGATTGTGGGTGAGTGAGTGAGCGAGGGAGGGAGTGAAGGCATTCAGAGGCTCGAATAAGGAGACAAAGCCAAACATGGGAGTTTTCAAGTCACTTGGTCTTTCGCCGGCCAAAGCGGCAGGTGCAAAGGCCTTGCGTCGTCTTTTTGGGCGGGTGCTTCCAGGCGAGACTGACAGTGCCAGTGACACTGATCAAACGGGCAGGGGCAACTCCAGCAACGACAATAATACTCAGAGGGACAACAACAACAAAACAAACGCAGATTCTTCATCTACAAAATATCAGGATAATTCTGCCGCTGCTGATAATCGCCAACAACAAAACGCTCTCACCAATACCGAAACATCTGCAACTGCCTCCGATATGGTGTCGCCTCAGAAGCACGTCCCCAAGGGGATCGTAGACAAGGAGAACCAACCGCCGAGCACGGCCCAGTTGTCAGATTCGCTCTCCCGTATGAAGATCGGAGAGGAGAAGGCCGTCGCAACATCCCCCAAGCCCGTCGTTTCCACTGCCCCTGCTGTTGCTGCTGAGGATGCAGCTCCCGCCGTTGAGTCTGTACCTGCTGTCCCCATCTACACAGACCCTGCTGTCATAGCGGAGCGAGCGATACACATGAAGTTCACTGAAGAAGCTCTTGACATGGTAAGTCAGCCAATAAATTTGGAAATAGCAAACCGTCTCCCGCCTTCTACCGAGACTGTCTATTCCCTGCGATCCTTAACCTCAAGCTAACTCTCAACTCAGGCGCGACTTGCTCTCAGAACAAACGAAACACCCGTGGGATGTGTCCTTGTTCACGATGGGAAGGTGATTGCTCGAGGCATGAATGCAACCAACGTCACTCGGAATGGTACTCGCCATGCTGAGTTCATGGCCCTCGGCGCTTTACTCTCTTACCCTCCCAAGAATGGACCAAGGACAACCTATCTGAAGCCCAAGCCCGAAAACCAGTCAGCTGAGGCTTCTGATGCATCTTCTGTCGAATCAGGACCCGCCGATGAGGGTAATGAGGATGGATCCAAGGGCCACCTCTACCCTTATGGCCAGAAGTGCCACCCTGATGCGCGAGTTGATAGATCTATCATTCGAGAGAGCATCTTGTACGTCACAGTAGAGCCGTGCGTCATGTGTGCTTCTCTCTTGCGACAACTCGGTATCAAGAAGGTCTATTTCGGCGCAGTCAACGACAAGTTCGGCGGAACAGGTGGTGTCTTCAGTATTCATGCTAACTCACTTCCTGTCAGCGCTGATGGCCAGACTGCTAGCGCACACCCAACACCAAAGCCTGCGCAGCTTCCAGATGGAAGCGGCACACTGGGCGTCTCGTATCCTCCAGGTGGAGGAGACGGAGGAAACCTCGAATCTGGCTACGAGATTGAGGGTGGATGGGGTCGTGATGATGCTGTTGCCCTGCTGAGACGATTTTATGTCCAGGAGAATGGACGAGGTAAGTGACACGGATTGCCCAGCTTCTTTGACTGATGTGCTGACTTGATAGCTCCGGTACCTCGCAAAAAGGAAGGTCGTGCAGCTCGATTGGCTGCCATGATGGAGGGCGAGGGTGCCGGTGAGGGCACTGGTGAGAGCAACGGTGAAAGCAATGGGGAGGATAATTGCGAAGGAAACGACGACGAGAATAGCGAAGAAGCGCCAACTCCGGATCTTGCTGCCACCGAGGCCGAGTCCCAAGTCCTTGACCTGCCCACTTCGACTCAAACGCTGAAGGAAACGCCCGCGCCGCTAGGTGATCGCACCAACGTCTAGAACAGCGTTGTCGCGATGCCGCTGCCGCATCTGCGTCGAAAGAGTAACACAGAAAACGAAGGAGCCACGGAATAGGTGGCTGCATCCCATGGGACACAACTGATGGAACTCCATCCATCAGCCCTACGAGACACCCGTTCCAAAGTATTGAGGGCACAATTGGAGAGGATAAACTCAATTTAGGCGTTTGGAGGGTCAAGTTGCAGTTTCGGTGGACATTTGAACAGAATTGCAGTGGGAGGATGGCCTTTGACTTTTACTTGATGCATTTTGGGCGAGCATGACGTTCAAGCGGAGGACATGGTGTACGAGCCGCTGAGTTCCAGTTGATTTGGGGTAGGAAGAATGCTGTCACTGTATGATGTTGTGGTTTGTGATCGCACAATACACCCATGAATAAGGCTGATGTGTCGTCATGGCCCTGGGTAAAGCACCCTGCGTGGCAGTCTCTACCATGGAGAGTGTTGAAGCTCGTATCGCTTGGCTGCACTATCTTGATCTTGGATGCTCCGAAGTCGTCTTAAGTGATGGTTCCCATTAAAATTCCATCGGTGCCTTTGAATCTGTATGTTGCGTTCCCTTTGACATCGGTGAAAAAAGCGGATGAACGCGGGGTGTCCCCAGATGCGTGTGCTCTGGAATTGCCCGAGTCTGTCTTGATACAATTTCCAATCCAGATACCAGCACGAAGCAGTTCAATCATGTTGATCTTGGAGCCCTCTTTATTGCTCTGAGCATTATAGTCATTGCTGACTGCCAACAAGGAGTCCCCATTGCCAGGCTCCTCTCACTTCACAGTCTTGCTGTCTGTAGTCCATGCCATGGTTGTCGTTGTATCAACATTGTCCTTGTAAGATGCGAGCAGTCCATATGAATTGTAGCTGCGTAGTATGCTTGAAGATTCAGTGCCCTTGCAAACTGCCCTCCAAACCCTATCACATAAGATGTCGAAAGCTGTTACAGCACCCCGTTTTCTAGTCGCTGAGTTGCTTCCGCACGAAATGGCCAAGTGCGCCTTTGTGAGGACGTTGCCAGATGGATCATATGCATAGTTATTTACAGTTGCCTCTCTGATCTGCGAGTTCTTGAAATGGTTCCCTTAGTAGTTGCGTTTACTAGTCACGTTGGAAACTGAGTCAAGATCCTGGGCAAGTTGGTCTGCTCCGTTTTGGATGTATTTCTCCTGAATCAAGAGCTTGGCCTCTGAGGGAGGCTGTCCTAGAGGGCCAAGGTCGTGGCTGAGGATGCACGATTGGAGATCATACTCGAATATGAGCTGAAAGTCTGTCTGTCCGTCGGCATTACCAGAGTTGACTTTGTTGGGCTCCTCTGTGGCATCATCGCACTCAAAGGTGCCGCCGGGCTATGTCGCGCACTAACCTCCTGAGTCCTTGGAGTCCACCTCACTGTGTGAAATCAAAGACCCGAGGTACTCGTTTAGTTCCTTAAAGCTGTTGGGATAAGATTTTGTCAATGCCTGTTCCTGCCAATCGTCCTCGAGGACTGTTTCGTACTCAACCAGAAGCAGGTCAAGTCACTTATGTCCCCCCATTGACCTTTTTCTCAAGGATGGGAAGTATACAACAAATTACCGACAACATCGTACGTGAACTCCGAAGTCAAGGCTCCCTAATTCGTAGCTGAGATAACATGCCCCTTTCCGTTGATAGAACTGTATGCACGAGGTGCTGACCAAAGCTCTGCATTGGATTACAGCCTCCAAGACTGTTTTGCCCCCAATGAAATATTGTAAACTTTAGGCGACGTTGATGACCGTGTTGTGGCATCTGCGAGTCTGGCTGAGGACTGAGGCTGTGTCTTCTGACGACTGGAGCTGATACTCGAAATTGTCCCAAGGAGATGACTGGAGGCCGAAGCTTTCAAAGAGGGGATCGCCGCGTGTGCCATATGTCCAATATTTCCCTGTGACATGCGTGTCTGTTGAACCGCTGGCAGGGTCAATTCCTTACCTAAATCATAGCATCCTCCTCTGTTCAGCACAATCAGCAGCATAAAGTACATGAGTTGACCCACCGTATGTGCCATTAATGTATAACAACATCAAGGAGGTCAACAATGACTTCCCTGGCCAGCTCTTGAAGAGGTCTACTGTTGAACTCGGTCCAGGACAAACTTGTCGGACAATAGCTTTGTGACATCGCTCGACGCCGCATACAGCTTGGGTGGAAATTCGTGGGCTGTAATCGAGAGAGTTCCTCTGATCTTGCTTTGCATGCGTGTCTCGATCTTTCTGCCGAAGTCGTCGATGTGAGTATGCGTGAGTCGTCCACTTGTCCACGTTTGGGCAGCAGCTCGCCATTCGTCATATCATAAGCAAGAGGTTGGATTAAGTTGACGCCAAAGCATTTCTATGAAGTTCGGAGTGGGAGATAGCTAAAGTACGAATCTTAGGCCGTTGTGGTCGTGAGGTCGGCAGGGTCCGGGGTTGATGTCTCATTGGCATGACCGTTGAACCCAAGTGTCGTGGTTAATATACGGTCTTACACACTACCTCTTGACGGTTGCAAGATAGGCAGCCTTGCTGTTATATGTGTACTGGGTAAAGCCCATGCCTCCTGGTTGGAATGCAGTCAAAGCCAGCCGATTTCAAGCGAGGAGAGCTTCATGGCCGTCATGAGATTTGTGATGTCGGATAGAAATGTAAGAAAAAATCCTTTCCCAGACTGGAAGTTAATGCGACTATGCTGATCCCCTGAAGAGTATTTGGTGGTGATGTTTCCACTGTCGTTGTAGGTGAATTGGGTCGTCTGCACCCGGACTTGTTCCCCCTGTCTCGAGCTTGTCGGATAGCCTGTCGACAGACCAGACATTTGAAGACAATATTTGGTGCCTGGAACCCTGCCTTTCCAAGTGTCACATACCATACAAGCATGATCAGTGAGCACCTTGTTAGTCATGTTCAGGGGGCGCAGGGACAGGACACTGGACTCGGCAGGAAAAGAATCGCCGGCACCGTTTTCAAAAGATGACCCGGTGCAGTTCCTAAGAGGTATATGGAAACGAAGGAGGGAGAAGATTAACAGTCTGATCGTCCTTTTCTGACTTCTCCATTTCTTGCGAGCCTTACGAATCGTTAGTCGTTGACAGAAATGCTTAGACCACTTAGAATAAACTTAGGCAACTTTAGTATAAGTTGGACAACCTGCTGACTGACCATATGTGAGAGAGTAGATCCTGTTGGCCGTAATCTCGCCGTCGGTATTGATGTTGATGGAGATAGAGCTGAGGAGGATTGCACAGGCGATGATAGCTCCCGCAATGGACTGTGTGTCTATGCAATCAGCAATCAGCGTAGTGCAACTGGACAGAAAACGTCGTAGGCGAGCCAGTGACATTGTTGAAACAATATTTGATCGAGTCAAGATACGATGTGTTGACGTCTTAAGTGTTCGAATTGCGAGGAGTCTTGGTAGATAAGAACTACCAATTCGTGCAGTCCGGGGACTTTCTACAATATCAGTCGGCCTTGGCAAGCGTCTTTAATGGCCTTTTTGGCGACTTCAATAAAAAGGGCAAACCATGGTGCAAACTTTGGAACCCTATTTTGGACGATTGGGAGTCATTGCCGAGAGTCTTCCTCAGACTGAAGGCACAACAATCCGTGCCCATGCCATGGGGCATTCACTTGGAGTTTCATACTCAAGCATGTCCTCTACCTAGCTTCTGATCGACGCCCCTAATTTTTCGATAATTTGCCATCTTCATAGGTAGGCAAGGCTCCTCAAGACGTGGCCTCAAAGATCAACGGTTCTCCACCAGGCCGAACGTTCACGTCTTGAAAAGAGCCCAGACGCGATGTCGTTGATGCAGGCCACATCGTGAGTCCACTTCGAGGCTATTCTGATCTTGTCAACTGTCATTGTTTATAGCCCCCAATTCGTACTATAACTCTATTAGGGAGGCAATCATGACAATCGCGAAGAACGAGACCCTGAAAGAAATGGCTTTTGAACATCGGGCTACTCGAGTTATATATATATATATCTATATATCTCTATATGCCCACTGCAAACTCATTCATGATCCCATCATAACAAGTGAAACCAATAGTTGGTTAGTGCATACGTGTCGTAAGTCGCTGGCTCCATAGCTCGTAACCCCACGAAAGCTTCCACTGCCATAACAACTCGTGTTACAAGATAAAGCAATGGGCTTGCTACCTTGATAACAGTCAGCGGCCCACCCCATGTAAAACTCATCTTCCTGAACTGCATGCAGACAACGGATGTAACAACTGAAACGAGAGCACTGACTCGCCATAGCCAACGCTCTGCCTCTGACGGGAAAGAGGAAGTCCATGATATCAGATGAATGCCTCCAAACGATGCACCCAATAGGCAAAGAAGTGGCCAGTATCTTGTCATGTAGAGACTTGAGTCCCACTCAGTGATGACATTATCAGCCTCGACTTCAGTGACAGTCGATTCAATCTTTTGGGAGTTAGGCTCAGTTGTGGAAACGCTTTCTTCTGCATCTCGTTCTAGATCCTCCATGACCCCGACCTCATCGTCTCGACAATCGCGTGGCACAACGTACCAAGCGATGGAATTGTCCTGTTTTTGACTGGGATCGGAGACGTCATATGTATTTTCCATTGCCAGACTCTCGAACTTATCCCACTGAAGAGGAGTCATTTCTGGCAAGTTGACGAAAGAGGCGGTGACGATATCCTTGGGCTTCTCCCACCAGAAAGCATACGTGACTAGGCCGTTGAACACGTAGGCCAGCGTCATGGTCTCGATAGTTGCCAAAGGAAGATGATGAGCTGAGCGCGTGATGCACTGCACTGTGAACCATACGACCTGAAGAAGAGCAGCCAGTTTTACCAGACCGTCAGCCTTGTTTTTGTCAGCGATCTCCTCCTTGGCAAGGCCCCAACTCTTGTGATCTTGCCATGAAACCAGACCGTTGTTCAAGAGCCAGGCATACTGACCAGGCCAGAGAGTTCGGTAACCCCCATTACACCCGGGATTATAGCGTACACCCATCATGCAGAGATAGAAGCCATGCACCGTCTTGAACTCGTTGTTCGTAGTGGTGGCGCATCGTCTGACGGCTTTACGAGCCTGCAAAAACTCCTGCAAAGACTCAAGGCATACCATTTCAGGTGCCAGGACGGCTTTGACAAGTTGGTAGAACTTGTGCTGATGCCGAAGCTGGCGAGAGACATGGATACGTGGATGAATGGCCGTCCAAGTGCAGATGGCGATAGTGAATAGACACGACGTGATGAGAGACCAAGTGCCGCGGTTTAAATCTTCGGGGACCCAGCCCACGAACTCTGTTTCCGTCGATCTTCTTGCTTCTGTGCCGTTCATGGGTAACTTTAGTGAACTTGACATCGACGGCTAAAGCTTGACATGTGATAGAGAGAGGCATGCTCGTTGCAGTTCATGCCGGGAAGCAAATGTATTTCAGCTCGATTGTCTAACATCATTAGCATTCTCTTGCATACCAACGACGCGAATAGCATCATGTTCAACCCAATGAATTGTTATCATTCTTAAGAGTGTTGGTTCCATCTAGGAACGGGCCGCATATATTAAGCGCCTGAAGTCAAATTTAGCATGTGCCGTCCACCAAATCGGCCAGTAAGGTGCTGCAATCGGCTGTTTTAGCGCCCGTCCCTCAAGTTTTCAGGGGTGTGGCTGCTTACGTGACGCCTGAAACTCCACCATGTGATAACGGCCAACATCTGAAGGTGCGTTACTTCTTGCATCTTGACACTTCAACCAAAACATTTGCTTTTGTTTGCCTGCAGCCCTGGGCCATTCTCTGTCCAACTTGGTCTGTTACTGTCTCTTTTTACTGGCCTGTTACCAAATGGCGGCATCTTCAGCCCTGCGGCCGACGATGCTGGCGCTTGGTCTAACACTTGGCGTTCCAGCCATGCTGTATTTCAGTATTTTGGGAGCGTTGGTTGTTGCGCCCTCACTACAAGCTCACGCAATTTACCTACACAAAGTTACGTTGACGTGGTTCAAGGATCTAAACACACCGGAGCAATTTGGATTCGCTCATCATCAAGTCACACCCTTCTACATCTCAACACCAGATGGAGTCAAGCTGCACACATGGCATGTGCTCCCTTTAGCGACATATGAGTCGTACCAGGAAGAATTGTTGGACCAAGGGCCAGACGGTGGATTGGTAGACAGGTTTGAAGATACTTTGAACTTCCGTCTACTGAAAGAGAACCCAAATGCTCGCCTGGTTCTTTACTTCCATGGCACCAGTGGAACTATGGCCAGTGGTTGGCGCCCTGATAGCTACCGCTCTCTCTACTCGGCTGATCCCGTCGACACCCACGTTCTGACGTTCGACTATCGCGGGTATGGAGAGTCAACCGGCTCGCCAAGCGAAGATGGTATCATCACAGACGCGGTAACTGTTGCCAACTGGGCCATGCATACCGCAGGTATCCCCCCCGAGCGCATCGTTATCTTCGGCCAAAGCCTGGGCTCAGCAGTAGCCATTGCTCTTGTCAACGAGCTAGCTCACAGGCAACCTCCCGTTCACTTTGCTGGATTGGTGGTTACAGCCACCTTTGCCGACATCCCCCAATTGACGGCCACGTACCGTATTGGCGGGTTTATCCCTGTGCTCTCACCAGTAGCAAAGGTGAAGCCGCTATTCGCGTTCTTTGCACGACAGCTTTCCAGTACTTGGGACAACATGTTCAGACTGGGTGAGTTCGTCAAGGCTGCCGAGAGGTACGATATCACCCTTCTTCATGCCGAGGATGACACAGATATTCCCATGGAGCATTCCATCAAGCTTTACAGGGAAGCTGTCCAAGCTGCAGAGGGTGTCAAGGACTCGGCCGAGAATGATGGTGAGCTCCTCAGCAGAATTAGCAGTGTCGAAAAAGGCCGCGGAGCAGGGGGCTCAATCACTGCCTGGCCTACCAGCAAGGGAAACATTAGACTCGAGATTTTAAAGTACGGAGTACATGACAAGATCATGGCATATCCCGCGACTGGGCTTGCGATCAGCCGGGCGTTCGCTTCGGTACAGCAATAGAAGGGCATATAATATACAGAACATAGACATATTTTCTCTTTACCGTTCAACTTGGCCGATTCATCATCGAAAGCGACCTCCAATCAGCACTCTCTACCTCATCTTGTGCCAGCTGGAAAACGGCCGTTTTGACCCAACGACACTGTGGCGGCGCAACATTTGCAGTGACAAGGCAGATAACATGCCAGGGACACATTAAGAGCCGTGCAAGAGTGGTATTTGAGGTGTGTCTTAGTACCATCAATTGCCATTGTGGCATGGCAAGGCGAGTCTGCCCAGCATGCGTACAAGCTTCAGGGCTAACCCATCCGTGCATATATACCGGATTGGTTAAGAAATAGGCACATACGACCAAAGGTAGTTGAAAATACGGGATCCCGTCCGCTCTCCCATAGTCAAGCCACTAACCGGCGGATTAGTAGTTGGGTCGGTGACGACCAGCGAATCCCCGCTGTTGTATGTTTTTGCATGTCTTGCTTTTTGGCCATTTACTACTATATGTCCGGAACTGTATTGGCTGAAGTGGTTGTTGACCTATCGCGAACCGGGAGCTTTAGTGTTAACTACTGCCAACATTCTTTAAATAGACTTATAGCCCGCTGTGCCCCACCTTTTTCACCAACGTGCCTTATACCCATGATGGTTCGAACTGGTTATGTGAATAGTGAAGTATATGTTCTCATCGAACGAAGCTGTAAACCGGTTGAATGGCATGAGCAAGGCCGTCTCGAAAGAAAGGCACAACGCTCTCTTGCGAAGGCAAAATGCCCTCCAAAGCCACCAGAAGATATCACATCCTGGAAACCAGGCGTTCAACGTTATGTTAACGTTATCGTAACGTTATGCGTCCTTCAACTGACATAATCTCCTCCGTTGTTAATGGACCTAAACCTCGTTGAAAAGGTATTTAATCTCAAAGTGCTTGACAGGAAGGTGGATGAAGATCAACTCTTCATTTCTCATTTCGAACAATTACCACCCAATTATGACTGAAAACAGACAACGCAACGTACTTGTTACGGGAGCCAATGGTTATATCGGGTCAGCAGTTTGTCGAGCCTTTGTAAGAGCAGGCTGGAATACCTATGGCCTCATCAGAAATCCACAAGTTCGAGAGGAACTTGAACTTTCTGAAATTATTCCAGTAGTGGGATCTTTTACGGAACTCAGTTTCCTGGAAACACTTTTCCAAGAGGTCAACACTTTCGATACAATCGTCAGTTGCACGGAAAAGACCCCAGGCTATGCTGCACACTTCAAAGAGGTTATGGGTTGTGTGAAGAGACTGGCCGAGAAGAGTAACGAAAACGGAGTTCGACCTCTGGTTCTCTGGTCATCTGGCTGCAAAGACTATGGCAAGACTGGTCTTCACGGCACGCCTGGTCTTGCGCCTCATACTGAAGAGTCCCCGCTGAACGCACCTGAGATATTGAAAGAACGTACAACGAACTCTGCCAGGGTTTTTGAGTTCACGGAGCTCTTCGATGCAGCAGTCGTCAGACCAACCTGCGTCTTTGGATATTCAAACAGCTACTACGGTGCTATATTCAACTATGCTGCTGATCAGCGAGAAAGGGGATCTGAGGTTCTTCGGATTCCCGGGGATCCCGATAGCATCATGCACGCAACTCATGTTGACGATTGCGGCGAGGCCTACGTTTCTCTTGCAGAACTTGATGATCGGCGAGCCGTAGGTGGCCAGTTCTTCAATGTGTCTGGTTATCGCTACGAGACACTCGAAGAGGTTGCAGGAGCTGTAGCTAAAGAGTACCGCTTCACGAAAGGTGTTCAGTTCGTCCCAGCATCTGAGGCAGAGCCATCATTTCCGCCAGGATTGCATTTCGTCTTCAGCTTCAGTCAATGGGTAGGAAGTGGAAAGCTGCGGTCATTGACAGGATGGAAAGACAAACGAGCGTTGTTCTCAAAGGGGATACACGCTCATAGGCTGGCCTACGAAGCCTACGAGGGCCGGGGTCATGGTAATGTCGCTGAAGTGCAGAAGAGGATTGGAGGGAACTTTAATGCAGAGAATTAACAGGGGCAGGGCTCAAAAATAGCCTGGGGCGATCAAATGCGACTCGGCATTTAGAAGCCGCGACTAGCCCAGCTGCCCAGGTAGGTGAGTCCGGGAGATACGGAAACAGCTGTAGAATGACGTAAGGGAGAGACAAAACGAACAAAAACGAATTTATTCGGATCGCCGGACTCAGCTACCTATCCATGTGATACTTACCAGGTTTTCCCACTAAGAACCCGAGTCATTTCAGCAGTATTCTTATCAGCACCTCGGCACCTCTGGAAGACCCAATTCAACTAGAGCACTAAATGAGGCAGGCAGTTGATCACTATTCAAAGCCAGTGCAAAAGGTCAGACAGAGTTTGGGTCTAGACCAGACTAAACCATCCCTGACCAGTCAATCTCCTGGACCGTCTGACATTGCATCGTGCTAACGTTTAGCAGATGGACAGGACCAGACATTTAAATCTTACCTCGACCCCACAAGCGACTCGAAGCGCAATGGAATGTCTACCTCAACGTCTTTGGCCTAACAAACGATAACGAGCGTGCGTGTGTACCTCGGCTTGTATCAAATATCTTCAATTGACCTCTCCAACGTCATCCTCCTCCCACTACACACCCACAAGAGCCCTACAAGATGGACCTCAGTCGCATCAAGTCCCATGGACTCGGCCATGTCGCGATTGATGACAGTGACACCGACATTGGCCCTTCAGGCAATGTCATCGACGATGGTCGCGTCAAAGTCCAATTCCATGACACTCCCCAAGCCCTGGCCCAATGGTGCGAACACCTAAAGGAGGCATTCGCAGCCGACGGAGCAGATTCAGAGCACTTACTACCGCCTAAGCCGTCAAAACCGCGTCGAACAAGCACCGTCGCTTTCCTCCCGGGCGTAGAGAAGCCAGCCGAAGGTCCCCGACTAAATATTGCCATCCATATTGTGGGCTCTCGAGGCGATGTACAACCATTTATTCCGATCGCGCAATTGTTGATGAAGCCTCCCTACGGTCATCGAGTACGAATATGTACACATGCTAGTTTCAAGGAGTTTGTGGAAGCGCAAGGTGTTGAGTTCTTTAATATTGGCGGAGACCCCGAAGCTCTCATGGCGTATATGGTTAAGAACCCTGGATTATTACCGAACAAAGACAGTCTCAAGGAAGGCGATGTCGGGAAAAGACGAAAAGAAATGATGGAGATTATCTCTGGTACCTGGAGGAGTTGTATCGAGGCTGGTGATGGAATGGGAGACCCTGTGAAAGCGGCAACCGTGGAGAACGTGGATGATCTCTTTCTTGCGGATGTTATCATTGCCAATCCTCCATCGATGGGCCACATTCACTGCGCCCAAAAACTAAACATTCCATTGCATATGGTCTTCACAATGCCTTGGTCACCTACCAAAGCGTTCCCCCATCCTCTGGCTGCTATGAGCTACGGAGATGCCGACGCCAAGGTCGCCAACTACCTCTCTTTCATGATGATGGAGCTTCTAACATGGCAAGGGTGAGTATCTTGGTCCCCCTTCGAGCCATTGACTGACAGACAATCTTAGGTTGGGCGATCTCATCAACAAGTTCCGCCGTCAAACACTTCACCTCGACCCCATCAGTCCAATGTGGGGGTTCCAGCTTCTCTCCAGACTTCGCATTCCATATAGTTACCTTTGGTCGCAAACATTGATTCCTAAGCCTTCCGACTGGGACGAACACTTGAATATCACCGGCTTTTCCTTCCTACCACTCGCGAGTTCTTACACGCCCCCAAAAGACCTTCTGGACTTTCTCGAAGCAGGTCCTCCACCAATTTACATCGGTTTCGGGTCGATCGTTGTTAAGGACCCGCAAGCGCTCACAAATATGATCTTGAAGGCAGTCGAGCTCGCGGGGGTCCGGGCGATCGTGTCGAAAGGGTGGGGCGGAGTCGGAGTTGGCGAAGTCCCCGATAACGTCTATCTCATCGGGAATTGCCCGCACGATTGGCTCTTCCAGCGAGTATCGGCTGTTGTTCATCACGGTGGCGCCGGTACAACCGCTGCCGGTATAGCGGCCGGCCGTCCAACTGTTATCGTTCCCTTCTTCGGAGACCAGCCTTTCTGGGGTCAGATGATGGCTCGCGCTGGCGCAGGGCCCGTATCAGTGCCCTACAAGGAGTTGACAGCGGAAATACTGGCAGACAGCATCAAGTTTGCTCTCAAGCCAGAAGTGCAAGAAGTCGCTAAGGATATGGCTATTCAGATTGGTGAGGAGGATGGAGCTGGTGGTACTGCTCAGGATATTCAAGACCGTCTGGATATTGACAGCCTTCGTTGCGACATTTGTCCTGATAGGCTGGCGAACTGGCTTGATCGTAAGACAGGAGCACATCTCAGTGGTTTCGCCGTCGGTTGTCTCATAGATGCTGGGCTTCTTCAGTCCCAGAACCTCAAGCTACTCCGACATAGACACTGGTACGTGGATGAAGGAGCTGAGTATCCTCTCGTCGGTGCCGTAGCTGCTGTGTCAGGCTTCGCCTCGGCCATAGGAACCGCCACATCCGATTATGCCGAACGCCTAAGAAATTCTCCAGGTCGTGGAAAGATAAGGCGCCCCAGTGTCGACGACGCGCAAGAGGAGGTCCTGACAGATCCCGAAGAAGCCAAGACGGGAGAAGCCCGGCTCCGGAAAGGCCCACGCGGGGCAAATCAGAAGGACATGGAAATCCTGGCACGGAAAATGGCAACCAAGACGCTCAATGGCGCCGAGCCCGTCTTTCTCACTCCAAAACTGCGTCGACCTGTTACTGGCCTTCACCAGAAGCATAAAAAGGCATGGAGGGCCCATGAAGGTGGCAGAAATGGATGCGTCTTCTATGTCACACGTGTGACGGGCAAATACGTAGGCGACCTTGCTGCAGCTAGTGCGAGAGCACCGGTGGCTTTCTTCTATAACGTCGCCAACGGATTCCATAACGCCCCATCCAATTTCTGGAATGTTGA